CAGCTATCCGAAGAATGGCAAAACAATTTTTTTTATCCTTTAATTTTTTGTATTGGTGTAGAAGTTTTACATTGCTACTGGTTACTAATGTGGAAACTACCAAATAAGAAATCAGATTTTTTAGTCTCGATCAAAATTTTCAATACTGAAAAATTTAATTTATTCTACATTTCACTTTATTATTAATAAGTATATATTTTACTCAAAATTTTATTTTGAAAAAAAAAACAAAAAAACCGTTTTTTTCTAGGTTTTTTTTCATGTTTTTTTTTCACATCTGAAAAAAAAACCGTTTTTTTACATCTCTAGCACTGAGTTCACTTTAGTTTGTTGTTGGAGTGGGTCGATTTTTGTGGCGTTTGGAATAACAGGGGTATCCAAATTCTCAATCAGTCGAAATTAAAAATACCACATTTAATTAAAAATATCTGCTTACTTGAGAAAATAAATATTAAATTAAATTAAAAATATCTCCTATGATATTTGTAATTTAGCAAAAAAAAAGGTATGTGTATAAAAAAATACAAATATAAAAAGAAAATATTTTAAATTAACAAAATAAAAAATATCAGTCTAACATAAAAATTAAATTTAAATTTTAATTAAGCGAATTAAAAATGTGTGTTTAACCATAAAATGCAAATATAAGAAACAGGGCACACAGTTTGGCATAAAAAATAAAACTAATTTTAAAATATCTGCTATGATATTATTAATTCGCATAATAAAAATTCTTATGTATTATTTTTTATCTAATTGAAAATATCACTTAACACATAAAATTAATTCCTGTATATAAAATAAAACGGCGCTCCATTCATGAATGCATTTTTTTATCATATATTTTTATAATCTTTTATAAATCAAAATACTTTATAATGTTATAAATAAAAAATAATCAAAAAATACATACAAGAAAGTTTAAAAAAAGTTTCAGAATTGAACTCATCATTGAAATCTCCAAAGTAATTTATCACGGGCCACATCAACATATCCCCGTTTGCGGGTTGGTTTAAGTTTCATATCAGTGTCCATTATCACCCTTGAGCTTGCGCGCACCACCGTTTTAGCTCTCCGGGGCCCGCTCCAAACACTCATTGTGCGCACTGATTGGAGGCAAGTGGTCTGGGAAAGCGTCACGTGTCCGGGAAAGGCCGCACGTGCGGCAAACACCGCAAGGTGCCAATATTAGAGGCCCGAAAATTGGCGACAAGTGTATGGCGAATTCGACGACCGCGACGAATCGCCAAATGATATTTAAGGCACATTGAAAGATGGTGAATGGTACAAATTAAAAACGTATTGTGTCACCAACAAAAGTTACATACTCGAATTCATTTAAATTCTATTAACAATATATTTCTAGAACTAATATTTATTGGAATTATTTTTCCAAGATCAAAGTAAAAGCTTTAAAGTTTAATTTAGATTCATAATTTTATCCATTATATCCATTAAGAGTCATACAATTAATTAAGACAGAAAATGTTAATAATATCGATAGAAAAAAACGTGGAACGATTTTTTGCGTTGTTGGGTGTTTTTCGACAGGAAATCCTGGTTTGAGTTTTTGTAAATATTAATTGGGCCTATTGTACCTATTAAATACAATAAATACAAATTTTAGTAACGATGATACTATCATCATGATAGGTACGTGAAAATTGGAAACATTTCAATTTAGTAAAAATCATAAAACAAATAAGTCGTCTAAATTCAAACAGCATTAGGCATTATTAAAAGCGTTGATTTAGAAAGTCTCCACTCAACGGTAAAATACCAAAAACGGGTATAAGATTATTTATTATACAGTGGTCCCCGGATAGGTGAAACGACGCCCTGATTGATAGAAGATTAATTTTCAACATAATTTCAATTAAAAAAAAAATCAAGTATGCCTTGGAAATATAAAAAAAAACTATTTTTTGTGTAGGTAAAGTTCCTTTCATATGGCATATAGGAGAAAATATTATAAAAAAAGTTGTTTAGAATTAACATTTAGGCCCCTATACCAAATTTCAAATTTTTTGGCCCACTTTAATTTTTATTTTTTTACTATTTTTTGTTTGTGTAAAGTAAAAAAATTGTTTAGAATCATATTTTACGTCCAAACATCAAATTTAAAATTTCTAGGCCACTTTGTAAAAATCTAGGTAGTAAAAAAAAATAAAAATAAAATTTGGGCAATAAACAACAATAAACAACTTTTCTACATATTTGGTCGTATATCCTATATGAAAAATAGTAAAAAAATAAAAATCTTAGTTGGCTAAGAATTTTGAAATTTGGTATAGGGGCCTAAATGTTAATTCTAATCAACTTTTTTTATAATATTTTGTCGTATATCCTATATGAAAGGCATTTACCTCCACAAAAAATAGTTTTGTTACTATTTCCAAGGGATACTTAATTTTTAAAAATCGAAATTAAAATTAATCTTTTATTAAGCAGGACTAAACTCCTGAAAATAAAGATTTCAATTTTTTGTTGTATTTTACAGAGTAGTTTTACCTATCCGGGGACACACTGTGTAATAAATAATATAGTCCCCGTTTTTGGTATTTTATAAAACGGTATACCGTTGAATGGAGACTCAACGCTTTTAATAATGCATAATGCTGTTTGAATTTGTGTTGAAATCATAATAATTTAGGTACCGAATTTGATCCTTTGGCAAAACATGAAAATGCAACGATTTAGTTCTTGAATTACATTTAAAATTAAAACACAATTGACCATCACCACTTAGATAAAATACACACACTAACGTAACTATATAAGCATATAAGTGTTGAGTTTCTTAATCAATGATAATATCATATATATTATAAGGAATAATAAATCGAAATCAAGTACTAAGCCAAAGTGCGCGATTTAGCTGTGCAATTAAAACTTTGCGAACAAAATTTGTCGAGTAAGGCTTCGGCTTTCCTCTCTTTTGTGAAAAAACTACTTATTTATTTCAAAATGATGTGCAGTTCGTATGCTTTATTTAAATGTATTTTCGACAATTCTCGAAAACCCGATCCTTCTTTAGGTTTAATAGCGTATTTTTTATTGTTTGAAAATGTTACTCAAATGGATTTGTCTGGGTTTGAGATTAGTCAAATATGAAATGACAAATCATTTTCTATATTTCTATTATTTTTTGAAGACCATTGAAAGAGCCATTTTTCATGTTAAATGACAATTTTTTTTCATTTTAGTTTATTTTTGATCACCTTATTCTTTGGTTTATGATCATTTTTAAAATATCTTAACATGATTTAGCAATTTAATATATAAAAAAAAAACTTGTTTTTCAGTTGAATTCAATCTCTTGTACTTTGGAAGAAGCATAAAACTATTCTTCTTGCAAAAGGTAAATATAAAAGTGGGCCACATGCATTCTCTCAATCATTTTAACACAATTTAATTAAATCCCGGTTGGTTGTAATTGAAAGGCGAAATAAGTTTAATATAATCCCCGGGCTAAACAAGGTGCACCCCCAACTCTAACCAAACTAAACCAAACCCACCCCTCTAGTGATGCCTAATACAACAAGTGTATATTGCAGACATTAAAGCCACATTAACATCGGGGCGGGGCGAATTTCGAAAGTTTATTTTGCAATACGATAGACGACCACTTGCATTTTTAAGGCAGGACAGGACTTTGCAGGAGTGTTGCAGCAGGAAAAATATAGTTATTTTAACATGTTAACATAAATTATCAATATTGTTTAAACTTCTATAAAAGTCAGATTTGTTAGCATGAGTTTGTAGTTTGTTTATTTTATTTTGTAAAATTTTAACATAATTTTTTGTTGAAAACCTGGGTTTAGAATTATTTTAACAAAGGAAAATATTTTACCGAAAGTTTTGTAAAGGTAATATGCAATTTTGTAAGCATTTTGTTAATTTTAAAGGTTACAGATTATTTTGTTAATGTTTAACAAATTATTTTGTTCAGCATCTGCAACTTATGTTTCGTAACGTGTTTGTAACAACTGTGCAGATTGTTTATAATATATTATATTATTGTTCGGATTTCTTATAAATACCTATTTAACGAGTTTGCGAAGTATCCGAAAAAAGATGACATCACTGTTTTTCAAACTGAAATTATGGGATATAGTAAAGTGAGTTAAAGTTACGAAATACATTAGTAGGTGTTGTAGTGGTACTAATAATTATATTTTTTTTACAAATTTCTTTATAATTTGATGATTTTAGGTGTTATTTAATTGTTTGTATGTTATTTTTGTGTTAATTTTTTTGTTTAAGGAATTGAATAATAAAGCAACACTTCTCAAAATTCTTTTCATTTAAGTTCCCAATTTCCAACAAATACTTTTGCTACTGTGCCTAAAAAAAGGTTTGCAAAAAAGGTCCTTTTTAAAAATTACAAGAATTATGGTTGAATTATTGACATAGGATTTTGTTATTAAATCTACAAAAGGTTAAAAATTAATGGTAAGTTAAATACCGTGACACAAAGAACCAAAAGACCAACTCAATATAAAATTGACTGAGAAATTATTTAGACGTTTATAAATTCGTCACAGTTGAAAATTTGGGTAGATTTCAAAAATAAAAATAAAACGTAATGCAGTTCCTAAACATTTCTTTTCCTATATTTCTTTTTAATTTGATGAAGATTGAATGATCATAAAACAAATACCCATGTATAAAGAAAATGGAAAAAAATATTAGATAAAAGTCATTTAATAAATTAATATTTTTTATTAATTAATATTTGAGTCAAATTATGGTTAATTAGTATTTTTACAAAATATTTCATTAATGCTAAAAATATATAAATATAAAACGAAATATGTTTAAACTGTCCTCATACTGTGGTTGAAACTATGATATACATAAGGGTTACTCCGGTCCTGCTAGAAATTGTCCACGGTCCAGGACTGAATGCTGCTGTTGCAGGAGGGGTGGTGATATGCACTTGATGACGGGCAGGGGTAGGTGGGTGTTCAAAAACCACCACACCACCCATCTTAGTATAATTTTTCCAACCAAACGACAACCAGTCATCACCCTGGAAACACTGTCAAACTACAGATATCTCTTGGCAAGTTGCAAAAGTCATCGGTGCTATCGTCGCAGTGTTCGGATTGTTATCGAATAGATGACCATCATGTTTCCGCTTGTGTCGTACAGTTTGAATGTGCGGAACAATTCGGCGCCCGCGTCTTCCGGCGCCATCGCCAGCTACGTGACGGGATCTTCGAAGCTTCTTGTTCCCGGTAGGGTCACAGCGGCGACGAAGATCGCGCAAGGGGCCATGACCATCCCAGTTGACCCCATGCACCTTCTAGGGCAACCGGACGTACAGCAGGTTAGTGGTTTCTTCTTATGTCACTTTTTTCTTAGATTGTTGTTGATGATTTCTGAACGCAAATTTAGACGTTTTAACTGTAGAAAAGGTTTAAATGAAATAATGCAGAATCTGAAAAAGATGAATAATTTGTAATTGTCAATGTAATTTAAGGGACCAGTGCAATAACCGGTCATTTTGTTAGCAGTGGATTTTTATTTCTACTATTTTACTATTAAATACTTTGCCCTGCAGGTCCATGGTCTTTTTGCTTTCCTGAAAATGTTACAAATGGACTTGACTGGACCCTTCAATTATACTTAAATAATTACTTAATAGTAAAAAAAATATTTCAGTATTAAAAATTTAAATTACCTTTATTATTTCGAAAAATCTATGTTAGGCAACAACATTCCAAGTAACACATGTGACTCTTGGCTTTTACCTAAATATTATGTCAAAGCTTTATTAGACACAACAAAACCTACTTTTAAAACCATAACGCCTATCACACTTGTAAATTTTAACTTTGCTTTATTATGGGATGTCATGTATACCTTTATAAAACCATATTTACTTAAGGGCCATTTAGGGCGCGCGAAACGAATTACAAAACTGTTTTTATAAAAAAATAGGTATAGATAATTTATAATATTTTGGTATCAAAATTGTCAAACATATTCTTCTTTTATTAGGCTATACATTAATTAAAAAAATCAAAAAATATTTTATAAAAGTAGAGATAATTGTAATAATTGACAGGTGTGGACGGGACAAGATAAATCTTTTTTTATTTTTCTTTCACTACCGTATTAAATATGGATAAAAAATTAATAATTTAAAAAAATAGCTCAGGTTAATAATACATAAACATAATTAAAATTAATTAAAAAAAAACTAATATAAATTAATTTTAAAAACTATAATATATAGTCACGGCCAAATCTATATGGGTGCACGTCATCAATGAGATATAATGACGTCAGCATTACCAACTTTGAATTGTAAAGTTACTGCCGTTAAATTTGCTTTTTTAAGGCGTAATTCTGATGTGTTATTAAAAAGAAATCATTCATTTGCGTATTGTTTACCAAGAACTGTAACAATTTCCTTGTTTTAAAACTTTTTTCACGAAATTATCAAAATAAAACCATTCACTTAGTAATTTTTGTGTGTGCCAGTTGGTAATAGCTTAAGGCTGGCGCGCACCGTTCAATATTATTGATGGGTCGCTGTCATTTTATATTTGACGTATTTTTGTAATTGTGACATTTCGTCCGGAAGCATCGTTTGTTGCAAATTATTATAAATAATATTATACATTATGTTTATAAGATTCTATCCCTGGATTGTGCAAACAATGATATAAGGCTTGTTGGCAACTAGGGTAGATGCACCGGTTGTGGCCATCTTAAGAAAACTTTTAACTTCATTCAACTCCAATTTATTTATTTTGACAATTTTTTCCTCCTCGAATGACAGATATAGTATAACTATATATCTTTGTCTTAAGAACTTTTATCTAATTTGAAATATATAGGTCAGACAAAGACAAATTCAATAAAATAGCCGAAAAAAGCAGTTTCGCTAGTTGTAGCCACTTGTTTTCTACTTGTGGCCAGAGGCCTCACCAGTTGTGGCCATCCTATTGAAATGCATATGAAATAAGAAGCAAAATGAACAGGTAGTTTATTTTTTTCGTATAAAATATTAAAAAATACATTTTTTAGTCAAAGAATTAAGTAGAAACAAAAATTAACAATATACAGAAATAAAAAAACAAAACTAAGTTTCTTAATTATAAGGCTTTCATTTCGGGAACTGCACTCCTCTGGTATTTATGGCTAGGATTGTTTATTTTTAACAGTATGTCTTGGACTTTGTACCACAATAGATCCGGAGAATCAGGCCATTTCCAATGGTTTATTCCAGTTTTACAATACAATTCACCTTCATGTTTGACTATTACATAGCTTCCTATATCTAAAATGGTAAGCATATTTTTTACTTTATCAGTATTAGCCTCTTCTATCACAGCAGTGTTTGTATTAATATCTTCTTTGGTCGGTTGCTGTTACTCTCCCTGGACTCTTTGGTATTTTCATCATAAATTTGTTCTTCATTAGGTGTAGGCTTATCTAAAAACACATCATTGTTTTCCTCTTTGTTAAACTTTTTTTTTTGTTAAATTTTTTCCTTTGTTTATTTTGTCACTCTTACTTGCACTTTTTGCAGCCTTTTCTGCAGCTAAATTTGCCTTAGATTTTTCTTTGGCTTCAAAAATTTCTATCCACTTCTGAATTAACCAATGAAGGAAGGGGTATTTTTTTCTTTTTTTATAAATATTACACTCTTGGATTTTTTGTACAGAGTATAGAAGGCCTTCTTTATTTAAAGGAAAACCATTTGAGGAAGAGTCCAGAATCCAGGAAACCAATTTTTATTCTATTTTTGGGCCAAGAGAACACGTTGGACCCACTTTTCGGCATCGCTTCTTTTACCATCGAGTCTATTTCGTACAGATCATCTAGGGACATTAAATTCATTAAATTCTTGCATGCTGTTGATATAATCATGCTGTATGCCCTACTTTCGGAATATTGAAATAATTTACGGGGTGCCATAATTTTTCTGAAACAAATTAATTTAAGGCTGTTAGGTGCTCCTTTTCTACCTTGTTTAGTTTTACATTTTGCCATCTCTTTCTACTGCATGGCCACAACTGGTTTTCATGACCCATTTGTAGCCATTTAAGGTCCACAACTGGCGCAGAACCCACTTTTGATGCTCCAATTGTGGCCACTATTAATTTAATTATTTATGAGTTAAATATCTTCTTCAAAGTGTTAAAATAACATGTAAAATTCCTTTATAAGTCAAATATCATCCACTTTGAACACAAACATTTAAATTCTTACACAGAATCATGCATTAACTTACCTCGTGTTTCTTAACAAAATCCCTAAAAAATCACAACATTCCCGCCACGTGTTAAAAAAACCGATTGTTTTACAAACACTGTAACTGACAAACGGAATGTAAAGCACTGGCACGATCCATAATACAATAAGGAGTGGGATTTTAGATTGTCTTATTGGCTAGTTTGAAAGTGGCCGTTAATATTTAAGATTTATTTTGTGGATGGCCACAAACGGTACGATGGCCACAACCGGGGCATCTACCCTAGCCGTTATTAGATTTCGAAGACATTGCGCCCTTAATTATTAAGGATTAATAATAAAATTGGGGAAATAATCAGACTTCAATTCTGACCTGGTTTGCTCTGATGACAAGGACGACTGGTAATTTATATATTTTGTGTTTCTGATAATTTAGAATTTTTTGTTATGTGCATATGTAATAAAAATATAATAAACTCCGTTTGTTTTCTCTTTAAACACATTTAATAAAAATTTGCCTGTAACAAACTCCTAATTAGTTAGTGCAGAAGATTATAACAAGGACGTTATAATTCCATCTTAATAACAGACCCCACCGCTATAAACAGTCAACAATACACGAGCGTTAGATTGTGTCTGGGCACGTATGAATAGACCTTAACGCTGACGTCATATGCCGTTGATGACGTGCACCCATACAGATTTGGCCGTGACTATATCTTATGTGGATATTAGGGTGATTAAAAAAAAACTTTTTTTGTTTTTTTTCTCCACCACGCTCAAAAGTTTTGTATAAATAATAATTTAAAAAAATAGCTCATGTTAATAATACATAAACATAATTAAAATTAATTAAAAAAAAAACTAATATAAATTAATTTTAAAAACTACAATATATATTATGTGGATATTAGGGTGATTCAAAAAAAAACTTTTTTTGTTTTTTTTCTCCACCACGCTCAAAAGTTTTGTATAGATATAAAAATGAGCCTATGAAGAGATGAGCTCTCAAAATTAAGATGCTCCGCATCGCTCTTTTCGATTTCCCATAAGAATAACATAGGAAAAATTATTTTTGTTTCAGATATAAAATCCATTTACAGAACAAAGTTAGGTATAATATTTTTTTTGAAACCACGCTCAAAAGATTCGTATAGATATAAAAATAAGCCTGTGGAAATATGATCTCTTAATTTCAAAATTAAGATGCTCCGCATCGCACTTTTCGATTTTCCATAAGAATAACAGGAAAAATTATTTGTTTCTTTTGATTTTTGTAACTAAAGAACGATAGGTCGTACTGTAAAGTTTTGGACATATTTTTGTAGAGAATTGAACGCTCTACAAAAAAAGTCAAACCTCATTTTTCGGTAAGTTAACTTGGTTAAAAGTTATTTAAGGTTAAAGTGAAATTAACCGTCAATTTAGTCGTATTCTTGAAAAAAAAATCCTAAATTTTTGAGTTAAAAGGGATAAAAACGAATCGAAATATTGTTTTTGAGCTCTGAAAATTCAAGAAAACAATACTATCGATATTTAGATCTTGAAAAGCTCCAAAATTTTATGGTAGAAATATTTTTAAACAATTTCAGCCAAAAGTAGCAGAAAGTTCCACAAATAGCTTTCAGGGTTATTCTATTTTCTATTTTTTAATTTTTTTGGCTAATCTACCCGAATTATGCAAAAATATTGCCCCCAATAACATTTTTTAAAATTTTCTGGAATTCTAAGACTATCTCAATCAAATTGTAACGGAAGTTTTTCCAAAAAACTTAAGCTAAAATAGTTTAAAAATGTGTCTACCATAAAATTTTGGAGCTTTTCGAGATCGTAATATTGATCGATAGTTATGTTTTTTAGAATTTCCAGAGCTGAAAAACAATATTTTGATTCGTTTTTAGCCAAACTCAAAACTCTAGGAGTTTTTTCGAGTTTCTTCGAGAAAACAGATAAATTGACGGTTAATTTCACTTTAACCTTGAATAACTTTTAACCAAGTTAACTTACCGAACTTTTAACCTTTTTTGTAGAGCGTTCAATTCTCCACAAAAATATTTCAAAAAATTTTAAATGAGTCGGGTAGACTCGCCAAAACAGTTAAAGAACAAAAAATTTCGTATAATTTGATCTTTGACCTTAAATTACTTTGGAAGAATCAAATTTATCAAAAAATCATAGGATACCTTTTTTGTAGAGCGTTCAATTCTATACAAAAATATATCAAGAACTTTACAGTACGACCTATCGTTCGTTAGTTACAAAAATCAAAAGAAACAAATAATTTTTCCTGTTATTCTTATGGAAAATCGAAAAGTGCGATGCGGAGCATCTTAATTTTGAAATTAAGAGATCATATTTCCACAGGCTTATTTTTATATCTATACGAATCTTTTGAGCGTGGTTTCAAAAAAAATATTATACCTAACTTTGTTCTGTAAATGGATTTTATATCTGTTGGACAATAAACGTTATTAATATTATTATTATTATTAAAACGCCCTTTTTAGAAAAGAAAATCAATTTCCTATGTAATACCATAAAAACAAATAGGTATGATAAATTGTTGCAAAATTAGCTTGTTGCGAAGGCGTAAGAAGTATTTAATTAACTTAATTGAAATTTTATCAAAAATGTGGTGATGGCAATAAAATATCACCCTAGGATGAAAATATTAAAGTCTTATTCGAGAGATAATAGTTTTAATATTATTCTAAACCTACGGCAAAAATGTTTCAAAAGAATAGTGCTTACATGCATGCTAACCAGATTTATTGACGTCTTCGTCTAAGGACAAAACTACCATTTAGGTTTATGGAGGATTTATGAAAGCTGTGACAACCTCATTAAAGCAATTATAATAAAACCTTTAGGTTTTATTACCGATGCAAAAATAGGCTTTCAAGGCAATAATAGGATTCTCCTTTTTGGTTCTAAGAAAGTCTTAAGCCTGCTGAAACAGCTTTATGGTGTAATTTTAAAAGAGGCCCTATGGTGCTCTTACAGCAATAATAAAACCACATTACGTTACTTGAGATTTTATAATAATAACCAATCCTAAAAACAAATTATTTATTTAACTAATCTTTTCTTCTTTTAACAGATATCTGTTGGTACTAACTCCTACGGAACCATCGATCTAGAAGACAAATCCAAAGAAACATGGTCGAAAACCACGCACTGGATAAGAGCCTTAAGGCTATCAGACGATTGTCATTCTTATAACATGCAGTTAAGGCTTCAGCCCTCGCAGAGACCCTGCAGCACGTTAAACAAAAACTTACCCACTCCAAAGTTGATATTGCAAGCCGTAAGGCCAATCGAAATGGGGCAGGAATTGTTGCTATGGTTTTCCGAAGATATTCTCGCGATGTTGCAGATTGTGTTTCTGACGCCGGCGAATATACAGGGGCAGAAAAAATACGTGTGCACGAGGTGTTCTTCTTTGTACGAATCTCCGAATCCGCTGAAACTGCATATAACATTGGGATGTGGTAGAAGTGATATTTGTTCGTTGTGGGAAAAACTTTCGGCTATGATGACGGAAAGTACGCTACAAAAAATACTTAAACACGAGTATTTTGAGTTTAAGTTGACGCCGGAACCTGAAGTTTTTAGACAGAAGAGTGCTATAGATTTAACAACATCGAACTTGAACAAAACCGATTCCTCGAAAAACTTATATCGACCTTACAACGAACCGTCAGCTTTTAAACCGTTTAAGAAAAATGCCGAAAATAGCACACCTCTAAGAGAAATTCCGACGGTTTGGCCAATGGCGATCGAGCATCCCGAAAGACAATTGCAGAACTTTAACATCAACATAGGAGCTGTGAATTACAATGATGAAGCCCATATTGAGAGTTTGGTGAGCAGTTTGGGAAAATCGAAGCAAGGGCATATTTGTCTGTATTGTGGGAAATGTTATTCGAGAAAATATGGTTTGAAAATACACATTAGGACCCATACAGGATACAAACCTTTGAAGTGCAAGTTCTGTTCGAGGCCTTTTGGGGACCCTAGTAATCTTAATAAGCATGTTAGGTTGCATGCTGAAGGAAATACACCCTACAAGTAAGTTACTTTCTATATTTTATCATCTTGACTATGATGGGCTTTGATGAAGAATTAACCTCATTTTTTTTTTACTTTTAGATGTGATTTATGCGGAAAGATATTGGTTAGGAGAAGAGACTTGGAAAGGCATTTAAAATCCAGACATATGATCGAAATGCACCCGGACCTTAACATTTTACCGGATTCCCCCACTCAAGAAGTAGAAGCTAGTGATGAAGACTCCACAAAACAGTCGAGTACGAGTACAAATAATCTGACTGATGTTTAACAAAGTTATTTTCCATTCATTAGGTTTTTAAATTCTAGTCCTTGCTTGTAATAAAGCTTTATTTATATAAAATTAGGTTGTTTTATTTGCCCAAAGTAAAAATCCAGTGTACAAAGTTTATCTAGTTAATAAAGCAGTATTATTTCAATTTTAAAATAACAAAAGGATAAAGAATAAGGCTTAATAAAGATAGGTATATAAACTTTATTAAATAATTTTTATAATATTAGTTCTTTTTAGCATTTAATTTAGCTTTTAACGCCTCCTCCCTTAAATTTAACAGTTCTGGTGATTCCTTCGAGTTTGTGAAAGGTTTGTCATTATATAAAGGTTGTGTCGACTGGACAATTCCTCCTGGTGCTAAGAATGTAGGTGGATTTCTGTTAACTATAACAATAACAAAAACAATTTCTAAATACAATCTTCAATACTTGAAAAACGACTTTGGTGATATGTTAAACAAATATGATATGTTAGAAATATTAGAAATATTCCCCAACATCAAAACAAAACACAATGATATGTTAGAAATATTAGAAATATATGTTAGAAATATTAGAAATATTCCCCAACATCAAAACAAAACACAAAGTGCTTAAAGTACTTTTCGCCAACGATGTTGGCATCTTCAGTGTAACTAAATATAACTGCAAAACCTACCATATTTCGTCGCCTTAATGCAGAACTAGTGTATGTCCAAATCTTCCAGTTTTCGGTTTATAGCGGGAATATATAGTTAATAGTTAATAGCTTGTATACAACATATTCTAGAGAAATAAAAAAGTGGGGGAAGCCCATCGTTTGGACTTACAATACTTCTGCATGTAATGAAGTTCACTATTAACTATATATTCCCGCTATAAACCGAAAACTGGAAGATTTGGACATACACTAGTTCTGCATTAAGGCGACGATTATTTATAAGCTATGGTTGACTGAACCGAAAACGGACACAGGTTACTAAATCGTGGACCGTAGCTGCTTGCTTCAGTATCCAAGTAAGGTTCAAAGAGCACTTGGTCCATGCTAGATTTGGTTGGACAAAGAAATCGATTATGGTCATAGAATAGGATTTGACAACCTCCAACTTATTAGGTAAGTCAGGGAACCAAGTCTGCTAGATAGTTATGAAAGTTTATAACATCTATAAGAATAGAAATTAATTTTTAAATAGCGATAACGGATCGGTACCCAACTCTAGTTTGTTAGTTTCTCTTTACTTGTTCACAGTTACGGTCCGCGGATAAGTAAACTATGTCCGTTTACGGTTCAGTCAACCTTACCTTATAATTAGTATAAAAATGGTAGATTTAGCAGTTATAACTATAGATTTAGTTACACCCAAGTAGCAAAATAGCTTTTTTATACAAGGGCTCCATAAAACTACTTTTAAGGGTAATTTGCATTGCTTAGTTAAAACCTATTTGCTTTAACAGCAGCTATACAGCTTCGATAAAACCATCATATGGCTAAAAAGGAGAATCCTATCGCTGTCCTTAGGAGAAATTTGTGTGTTAGCCACAAAGCAACTTTGCTTTATTGTATTACTCCTAAGGCCCACCTTACAGCAGCCATAAAACCTACCTTACAGCTGTCATAAAACCTGCAATAGGTTTTAAGGAGGTTGTGCGCTTTAGTCGTAATAACATTTTAGCTGACAATTTGTACTTGATATTTGTTTGGTATATTGTTGGTATAGGCCATTATTGATTTTAAAAACTCAATAAGAAAATTATTATCTTTTGTCAACCAATAACTTCGGGATGCAAAAATCATAAACAAATACCACTTTACTGATAAAAGTTGATGCCCACTGAAATGCGCTTAATTTAAACAATTTTAAAGGCTTTGGCCAATTACTAACCCGATCTACATTCCGTTTTTAAGCCATCTTTTATCAAAAAATATACTCTTTGAAATTTTCTGAAAAATAATATCTACCTATTTGTATTTTATATTAAAATTATTTCATCATGGCGGAACAATATTTTCTAATTTAAATGGCGGTTTCAGTTATAAAACAATGTACTCATTTTTCAAGGCAATTATAAAACCAATTGGAATTTTATGCATTTAAAAAAAAACTTATTTTCATTTAACCCTTTCAATACTGCGGGGATATATACGTCCCAAAGAAAATTAAAAAATGTCTCTACTTAATTAAGTGCGTTTAAATAAAACAGGGTCGGGACAATTTAGTATTTCTATGTCTTGACTTGGGATATCAGTAATAAAAACTTAATTTATTTAACGTCACGTGAACAATAACCAGCTGTTTTTCGGCCATTGCACGCTCTAAATTGAAAAAGACCAGTCACATAACCTATTTTGTGCAGTTTTTGTGTAAATTTTGCTTGAATTTTTGTGATACTTTATGTGCATTGTACGTCACAACTCATTCCTCAAAATATACGTTGGGACAAAAATATCCCTGCAGTAATATGACAGGGGATAGTTTTATCCCATCAGTGTTTTTTGATAATAAACATTTTCAAAAATAGTAGAATTTCTTTAGTGTGGGGATAAATATATCCCAGGGCATATTACTGCAGGGATAAATCTGTCCCAGGCCTTTTTTTCAAATACCACCAAAGTTAAAAATCTGTTATTCAGTCAATTAACTATTTTTAACCTAAATATAGTTTTAACACTAATAAAAAAGTTTTAAATTAATTTCCGAAAAGTCGTATTGAAAGGGTTAAAGTATCGCCATCAGGGCTATAATGCTTTGTCAGATGATAACTAAAAATTGTTGGGATTGCAATGAGTATTATCAACCGGATATTTTGTCAACAACAGAAAACACAGAACTTTTAACAGCTCTTACAGGAGACAACTTAGTTTTTCTATAAAAAATTCCACTTTTTTTTACTTTTAACCACTGCTCTAAAAAACTCCTCATGCATGGCGGCGACATGTTGAAAAGAGTTATTTTCTTCCCGATTATTAAGACAAAAACATTTTAATAAAGAAATAATAGCAACAAAATGGTTTACACTCATGCAAATTGGAAAGAAAATTGGTTATATTAAAAACGTATTGCTGCTCTACTATAGTTCCTATAGGAACAATCATAAAACCTTTTAACTGTTTGGTTCTGTAACATTCAAGTTGCCCTAAAAAAGCATTATTTCTTAACAGTAATAAATCAATGTTAAGATCAAACGGTTATAATCGCAAAACGGCTTTAATACTTTACTTTAAAGTCGCTCATAAAGCCTAATCATAAAGCTTTTTATCTCAAGACCAACTAGCATAAAGTAGAGCTGCAATAAAACAAAAAGCATGTTTTAATGCATTTATAAAGCTTGCATAAAAAGTAAAGCATTATCGGTGGCAACCCTTTGCTACTTGGGCACTTTGCTTCTGAAGATGCCAACATCGTACTTTAAGCACTTTATGTTTTGTTTTGGTGTTGGGGAATATTTCTAATATTTGTTTAACAATCTTCAATAGGTCTACAAGTTTGAGTTTAAATTTAATTTACAAGGTATTTTTTCTCCTCTTATTACGCCATTTAAAAGTACTATCTTTCCCCTATAAAATCTACTTTAATTTTTTTAATATCCTCTGTGCTCTTATAAGCCCTATGAAGAAATTTGAATTTAGCTCAATAAAGACCTTGGGAATGGTATAGTCTGATTTTAATAATAGAATTTTGGTTTCATATGTAGTTTGAGACATTTTTACCTAATTCATCATCCTCCTCATCTACTGAAAGCGATGGTTCGGCCTCCTTGTCCGGAAACTCAAGAACAGTGACATTTTTCGGTGGTTGATTATCGAAACCACCTTCCGGACTTTCCACTACCACAGCATCGATCTCCGGAACAAAAACAGCGTCATCGTTATTAACGTAATCAATCGTCACTGGTTTGGTGGGGATGCCATAAACCTCAGTAACTTTAATGGGAGTTTCGAATGACACAAAGGTGTCTTGATTAACAGGGGCCACAACTGCACCAATCCTGATGGGAATGCTGTAAGTGTCGTGGACGATATTTATCTCTGCAGGGAATAGGATGCTTGTTTTAAGGCTGTATACCAATATTGGTACATCTAGAACAATTCTTACAGCTGGGGTGGCTTGTTTCAATTCGTTTTTCTCTCCTTTGATTGTCATTATCGGTTTCGTTTTCGAAACGCTCATTATTTCGCCATTCTCCACCATTTTCATGTTGTTCTGAGATACCACCAACATTGGTACCACTGTAAACTTATTGGAAATCGAGTAGGGAACTTCGGCTAGTATGTTAACAGTTGGTAATACATCAGGGAATGGTTGCTGGGGCGGTGATGCATGATGAGAAAATGCTGTTGGTGGTTGGTATAACGATTGTTGAGGATATGATGGGTGCTGGTATCTTTGGCCGAACAAGGGGTTGTAAAAAGGTACGTAAGGTGAATAGTTTGGAACATTATTTGCGTAATTCCCTAAGGAGTTGTAGTACGGATCATTGTATCTGTAGTTGTAGTATGGATTGTAGATGTGTGGAAATGAAGTTACTGCAGAAATTGCCGACAACAAAGATATAATAAAAACCTGCAAATAAAAACATTAATTAGACTAAAATAAATTTTAGTGTTAAAATATAAAGTTATAATGTTATGATTGTAATATAAAGAACGTATCCAATCCACAATTTTGGTCTAACCTTTAAATACCATCTAGTACAGTCATCTTAGTCAAAAAAAGGGATCAACCTCGGAATCTAACGGAATAAGCTGAATTTTTGTGAAAACCTTTATTTTAGCATTACAAATGTTGTCTCAAAAGTCACATATGCCAACGTGTGAGCGACCTTAGATATTCAAGGTCAAAGGTCGCAAAAATCAGTTTTTTGATAATATCTCGTTTTGTCTGCCTCCTATCGTATTTGCGTTTATTATAAAAGTTGTAGAGAATAAAATTCTCTACAAATTTTGTTTAAAAAAATTATTTATACGTCGAACCGTTTTTGAGATAGAGGGCGCAGAGTGTGGAGCGCTCAGCCATACGTACCTTTAGCGCAAGGTAAATCGGGAATCCCAATCTATTATACCGTTTTTTTAATTAATTATATAATAAATATTAATAAAATAAAAATTTAATACCTTATACTTATATTTATATTTCTTTTAAATCTAATATATTTTATCTTCATATATATCTTATATTTTAATTTAATTTTAATGAAGGATAATTGGATCGGAGTGGGAACAAATGTTTTTATTTATATCAATATTATTATTATTATTATTATTTATCTTTATCTTCTTCATCCTCGTCTTCTTCAGGTTGGCCAGCAATTTCAGACTCATTATTATCATCACTCTCCTCGTTATCATTGAACTTACTTATAACGCGTTTGTACTTTGCTGATTTTTTTGCCTTTGTTGCCTCATCTGCGACTTCACCACAAAATAAGCACAATATTTTAAAATCAAACACATCATTCGCTTTTTTACGAGGTACAGTTGATGACTTTGAAGGTCCAGTCTCTTCAAGGCGACGTTTTGCTGCTGCAATTTTACTATAGTACGCTATAGCGTACAATTTTCGACACTCAATATGAACGTTCACAGAAGTCAAAGTATTTAGGTAGTTTATGTTTATTTCTCTCAATAATTGCTTCTTTTAAAGTCTTTATACCGCGCACAAAAGTCACAGAATCACCTTCAGAAAGTAACTTATTACAAATAAAACACAAATCAGCCATGTTAACCTTTAAAGTATTACGAATATTACCTGTCACAACCCTAGACCTAGGTATACCTAGGGTCACACCTTGCTTTAAATATAGGTATACCTAACCTTTTTATTTATAGCAAGCCCACTATAGTATTTCCAGGTCTGTTATTTTAAAAGCAATATCTGGATCCAAGAGATGACCAGAGACATATTCAAGGCAAATTCATTTAATGTCTTTTCTTCTTAAAATGCATTAATCATTAATTAGATTATTATTAGAATATATTTAGAATGATTCACTTCATTATTAAATTATTTGTATGTCAAAAGTAAGTAATATTTAATGACTATTTGTTTTAAAAAAATATATAAAAATAAATATAAGGTAATAAATTGTTATTTAAGTTATATTTAATAAATAATTAATTAAAAAAACGGTATAATAGATTGGGATTCATGATTTACCTTGTAAAGGTACGTATGGCTGAGCGCTCCACACTCTGCGCCCTCTATCTCAAAAACTATTAGACGTATAAAAAAATTTAGTAAACAAAATTTGTAGAGAATTTTATTCTCTACAACTTGTATAATAAATGCAAATATGATAGGAGGCAGAGAAAAGGAGATATTCTCAAAAAATTGATTTTTGCGACCTTTGACCTTGAATATCTAAGGTCGCTCACACGTTGGCATATGTGACTTTTGAGACAACATTTGCAATGCTAAAATAAAGGTTTGTACAAAAATTCAGCTTATTCCGTTAGATTCCGAGGTGAAATGCCTAGATGACTGGACTAATCCCCGTTAATTAATTAACTTTACAGCAAGGTAGTATTGTCGTAAGTGGGGAATCAAATGTTCGTAAGTTGATAGGTTTGCAATTTTTATTCTCCAAGAGGTTATGACAATAATGCTCTTCTGCTCCGATTTAATATGAACTTATTGAGGTTGAGAAGGCTGATAGTCTCAACTAGTTTTCTGTACAAACTAGTCAATAATAAAATTGATTTTATTAGGTTTAATTAATTTTAAAATACCTAGACTGTTTAGTAGACAAAATCCAACTTTTTATTGCTCTAGAGCCAAAACAAATATTATGATAAAGTCTCCAATTTATTCAATGTGTAATTGCTTTAACGACCTCTGTGAAAGTAGTGACATTCATTTTTCCTCTCTTAATTTTATAATTAAGGATCTAAGGATTAGTGTTTAATCTATAATAGAATAGAATATCTACTCTCATAGGCTACTTTTGTTATTAATACTGTCACATATTTTATTTTATCTCTTTTTGTATTTTGTCCTGTCATTAGATCGTGTATCTGTTGGGCAATAATAGTAGATTATGTTATAAGGAGTAGAAGTGACTCTTTTTGTGGTGAGTACATAGATTGACGGCCGAAGCGTAGCTGAGGCAGGCAACTGTACGAAGCACAAAAAGAGCTTCTACTCCAAATAACATATACAATTTTTTTTTCAAGGGCATAATATAAATAGGATAAGCAATAGAATTATTTTATTTACTCATAACTCGTGTGGGATAAAATTTTGGCTAAAAGCATTAGAAATTATTGATAAAAACTAAAAAAACTAATAAACCTTACTTACAATGCCGATAAATATCTGAAACTAAAACTAAACACCAGGGGGGTGAAACTCATATAGGAATATGCGCAACAAGCGCCTCCCGAGCAACGTTGCCATATTTTCTTTTTGTGGCTTAAGTCATCTTTTTTAATAATTATTTTAATTGTCAGTTTTGACATCTGTCAACAATAGAAAGAATATTGATAACGGTAAAGATCTATTTCTAAGCTTTTAAGTATATTTTGAGTTTTTTCATCTGTATTGCTTTCCCTTGAAGTTACAGTAAGTATACAATAAATCAGTTGCTTTTATAATGTTTTTTTGGAGATTGACTTCCCTATTAAATAATTAATTTGTGTGTAATTTATTACGATTAGTTTTTTTTGCAAAAACCAATACTACTTAATAATATTGGGACATTTGCTTTAATAGGGGCTATTGTTGTTTGAAAGTAATTTCCAGCGTACTGATGTCCCTGGTGGAAGAAGTTATTGAAATTTTTACTATTGTTAAAAAATGTAATGCATTAATGGACATCAAAATTTTTTTAATACATGTATGTTTTTTTTAGGGCCAAAACCGATGCAGGAGGGAAGTTTTATACCTTCTTTCACTTCTGAACCCATTCAAAATACAGATGCACTGTTTGTATATTCTTTAATTTATTTTATTGTTAAAATTAGTGTATTATAACCATTTACTTTTTAAAATAAATAAATCTTTGCAACTATTTTATTTTATTGATCAAATTTAAATAAATTAATATTATAATTATTAATATATACAAAATAGATAAAGCCGGCCCTGTATTATAAAAGTTAATAAAATATTTGGAGTACGGCCCTAATTGGCAGGCGTTTATGACGTTTGTGTTTCTTAAGTTTAACACAGTGGTCGCCCTTCTTATATTCTTTTTCTATGCTAAACACTGCTCTGTCAAAAGGCTGCGCTTGAATTAATTTTGACGTACTGACATTTGTTTGAAGTTTCGACATTGGCGACTCGTCTATCATCATAATATTATACTAATAAACTAGTTTTTCTTTATTTCGTTCAATTAAAATTTAATAAATAATCACTAAATATTCCGTGCGATTGTAATTAATATAATTAATACATCGTGATTGCTTTGTATGAAATGCTAAATTAATTTTATTATTTGACGTTTATTGAGTCACCTATGGATTTACTTCTATCCCTAGGCTTTTTTGAGTTTTTTGTCTGCCGCTAATGAAAAAGACGCACTTCAACTATCTCTATACATGCATATAAGGTTGTATATCATGGCCGCTTGAAAAAAATAGTAGATTATGTCATAAGGAGTAGAAGTGACTCTTTTTGTGGTGAGTACAGAGATTGGCGGCCGAAGCGTAGCTGAGGCAGGCAACTGTACGAAGCACAAAAAGAGCTTCTACTCCAAATAACATATACAATTTTTTTTTCAAGGGCGTAATATAAATAGGATAAGCAATAGAATTATTTTATTTACTCATAATTTATGTGGTATAAAATTTTGGCTAAAAGCATTATAAATTATTGTTAAAAACTAAAAAAACTTACAATGCCGATAAATATCCTAAACCATAGACAACAAAGCCTTTAACTAAAAATAAACTCTGCTCTGTCAAAATGCTGCGCTTGAATTAATTTTGACGTACTGACATTTGTTTGGAGTTCCGACATTGGCGACTCGTCTATCATCATAATATTATACTAATAAACTAGTTGTTCTTTGTTTCGTTCAATTAAAATTTAATAAATAATCACTAAATATTCCGTGCGATTATAATTAATATAATTAATACATCGTGATTGCTTTGTATGAAATGCTAAATTAATTTTATTATTTGACGTATTTTGAGACACCTATGGATTTACTTCTATCCCTAGGCTTTTTTGAGTTTTTTGTCTGCCGCTAATGAAAAAGACGCACTTTAACTATCTCTATATAGGCATACAAGGTTGTATATCATGGCCGCTTGAAAAAAAAGATTATTATTATTATAATATTATTATAAAAGTAGAAAAAGGCATTGTGACCACAACTGTTATTGCAAAGCTGTCCAATTTTAAGTTGCTGAGAGGAAAATAGTGGTAACCTATAAACAATTATCAACCTGAAAGTCATTTTAGTTCGATCTACTATCCGATATTCCGACATCTGTTTATAGCAACTATTTTTATATTTTTACGTGTAGAATTACCCCATCTATATACATATAGTGTGACCCATTTGTTTGCGACTCACCCCTGTAAAATCTTTATTTATTGTGCGATTTTAACCGGGTTTCTTTTAAAGTGTAGATCTTGATAAACTGTATTTTTGGAGCAAAAGACGCCATATTAGTACAAAATACAAGGCCAGTCAGTTTTTAAGAGTAAATTTTTAAGAATTCATATTAGGGTAATT